TTACGGAATTTAAAATGTACACGTCAAAAGATATCACGAAAAAATTGTACTGGATACTAGAGCACTGATCAAAATCGAATAATTGTTTCGTCATGTAATCAGAACCTTATTTGTCCCCTGTGATTCTGGTGATTGGGCTGCATATTTGAAATGTGACACTTAAATTCCCATTATAAATGGAAATGAATTTTATTTCTAATTTTCAAACCATTGAGCGAACAAACGACCTGATCTTATCAATTGTTTAGTTATCATTTGCGTCATGAACCGTGTTTGGGGAAGTGTCATCGGTTTCGAATGAATCTACACGAATACGATCTACACGTTTTGCAACGGAAAACCATTTACCTTTTTTGATATTCGATTGAACGATGAGAATGATTGCGGCGATACGTTTAATGTGCCTGACAGCACTGGAACTTCAACATCCATTTTTTATCACAAACGTCGGGACTTTTTTCACATGTGTCCAATTTGGTGTGCATCATTTGCCAAATTCTCGATAAGTTGTTGCGCTGGTTTCGTTTCGTGCTTGCTTTTTATTTCCTTCTTTGTTCAATTGTACTACTATCCCACGATTGATTCACTGAAACTTCAATTCGCAAAATATTTAAACCACAATTTTATGGTTCTTTATCACGCGCAACAATACTTGGAATTTTTTTTTTGGTTTGCAGTGTAATCTAAAATAATTGGCCGCTTGTTGTCATTAATCTATAGACAGTTCACCCACACTCACTCACAAAATGGATGATTGCATTTGGAGAAAAACTCAAATCAAGTATCGAAAATTGTTTGCGTTTGTTTGTTTGCTGCACAGTGTGGCGATAGTCACAGTTGTTAATGTTTTCAATAAGGCACCAACCAAATAATAATGGCCGTTTTGATCGGGACTTGCAGTCACACACAATATATTTTAAAAAATGTTTCTGTTGTTTTATCGACGCACACGTACACACTCGACTTAAAGCACTGTTTTATTTTAGCACAACAAAAGAAAATATGGCACGAACAGACAGATTAAATGCATACGCAAATTGACCAGCCAGCCACCCAAAAAAGGCAAACAGCAAAAACAAAACCGATGAAGAAAAAAAAAATAAAAAAACACGATACATAAAATTAATTTTGCATTTGAGTTTCAACTTTTCTCTTTTCCTTTTTTTTCGTGCTGTCACTTTGGTGTATTTGGCGTGTATAAATTCGTCGTTCGGTTTCAGTCTTTGTGTGGAGCTATGTTTTCTCTTCTCTTCTTTTTTTCCCTACCTTTCCCTTCTCTTTCTCTCTCTTTTTTTTCTGTTCGCCGTCGCCGCCGTCGTCGTTCGAGTTTTTGCTCGTTTTTGTTGTTATATGCGTATTTTTTCACATGTATTTTCGTTTGAGTTCTTTATATTTCGCTTCGTCTCCGTTGTGCACATATACATGCACACACTTAACACTGATCGATTTATTGGTTTCTTCTACACATTCACATTCGCTCCAGTATGTGATTTAGCACTCGGGCTTTGTTCACAACCAGTCAAAATATTTGCCCAAGAACCGCGCTCGAGACAAGCCAATTGTGCATTATGTATTTTGATATTGAACTTAGCCAATTTAATTACACAGTTCACACACCGATTAGTAGCTATTGTGCAAGTAGCTAGACGACGAAATACCGATAGAAAACGCAAACATCAACACATGAAACGCTATGTACGCACCGACCAAATTCCGTGGAAAACGTTTGAGTGTCTAATTTTGTTGTTTTTCTATTGTTTGATTAGATTGTATGATGTTGCGCCTTCGCTTGTTTTTATTTATTAATTCTCATTTTCTGTTGTTGTAAAAATTTCTGTTGTTGTTGCTGCTGCTGTTCAACGTTTTAAGTCGTTGTCGTCATCGTCGTCGATTCGATTTGGTTCTGTACTGTGTACGCGGGAGTGTACAATACACTTGCACCGATTTTGTTAAATACTTGCTCAGTCGCAACACACTCAACTCGATTTGAACATGATCGAAATCGAAATGTACGACTTATCTGGTTCTGGTAAGGCTCTCGGCTCCAGTACACTCATACCGTTCTCTCATTCTCTCGTTTTATCTCTTTCATACGCTGTTTTTTCTGTCCAAACATGCTCTCATGTGTGTAACTTAGCTCACAGCGACACACATATCCTCACATATTCACAAACACACTGTTTGTCACACATATCGTCAATTTTACTGGTCTACACTGTTCGAAAATCAATGCTCTTTTTCAAACATATGTGATCGACTCAGAATCGGTTTCGTACATTTCTTTTTTCATTCCATCAACTACTCTCTTTCAATTAATACCAACAACTCTCAATCAACAGTACAATTTAGACACTTGCACCATCATAAATTTGTGATGATCCACCAAATCAGCTACTTTTCCGGAGTGTGCCAATTTCGAATGGCATCTTCTTCAGTCCATTCAACCATTTCATTCGAGAATCTATTGTATCACGCAGATAAAAGTATCACAGACCTATATTCAAATGATGACTTTCATTACCTTTTTTAGGCATCATTATAGTATGATTCATCAACAATCATACTCTTGTCATAGTCAATGCCCATTGTTTCAATCTTAATGCATTCGCTTCATTCGTTGAACGCTCAGACGAAACGGGTCAGTTACATAAAACGAGAGAACGATAAGAATATGAATCACTCATTGTTCCGCCGTGTTAATGGAGATCGGCCATCGGAATGCTGCTATCAATTTGAATAAATTGGAGCGTGCCCCAGAGCAGTACAACAGGAAATTACACCGCATTTTTTCCGGATAAAATCATTGCTTCAAACTCTTTGACAGAAGAAGAATAAAATTATCAACGTTTGATTGCAATAATCTTGAATTTTCGTAAAAACAAGAGATTATTGCTCAACAAGAATACAACTAAGCAATTAGACACTGCAAATGTTGCGCATTATACAAGGTTGATAAGATATTTCTAGAAGAAATTTATTCTTATACTGTAATCAGTATGATGCGTCATGTGGGGATCCCTTTGACTTGCTAATTGTATATATTTCACCCGATTTGCAATGAGAATGATAACATTGTAAGCTGAACAAAACTCGCCTTGATGCTTGACTTCTTCTTATCAAAAATGTAATGAGTTTAGTGGTGTAATGAGCGGTGATTACCAATTTGTTGACGCATGCGGTGAATTTATATAGATTTTATATTCATTCATGAGATGTGTACAAAATGATAGGAGCCAGAACAGAAGCAAAGCGGGGAAAGCAACTGACGTCTGAATTTTGTATATATGCATTCAATATTTATATTAGTTGCTTTTTGCATACGTAAAAACTGGGTCAGCGACTGGAAACGTTTGGTCAAGCTTCACTTGGGTGAGTAGAAATAATAGAGTAGCCCGTAAGCAGAGTCTAGTAGGCACTATCTCTACACCCATTTTATGATTTATGTACGGAAACTACCCCAAAATAAAACGATTTGGTATTTCTTGGTCAATTTTTATTTGACATCAACCAAACCGACATCGTTGAGCTACACAACGTTTGCAGTTCCTATGCAGCAAGGAAATTAATGGCACCAGTTTATGATTTAGTCGCGACCATAAAGCAACAAAATGTGGTGTTGGATAAATACAATTAAAGGCCATATGTTGAATGTTCCTTCTAGGGGCTTCTATGTCGGTTTGTCATTCGGATTTTTATTCACAAATTCGCGCTCAGTGCCATGCATTCACAACGGTGCCATATGATTTCTATGTAAACATTCGCACTCGCATTCGTATAGAATACGTATTTCGCTGTTCTCGAACGTTCTCACGAATGCGAGTGCGAATGTTTACATAGAAATCATATGGCAGCGTTGCGAATGCGTGCACAAACACGAATCAATTAATTGAATTATGTAGTCACAAGTTCGCTGTCATAGCCGCATTTGTCGCATTCGCAAACATTCGAATTTTTGTTCTGAAATGCGAATGCATTCGCAGCATTCGCGAGAGATAAATCCCCTTAGTGTTTCTTAACGTAAATATTGAGAAACAAATACAGAACACTTGCATCAGTTGTTTATCTAGAGACAGAAACGTGAACGGTTTCAATGTGAAGTGAGGCAAAATAATAAGCCGGAGCGGAAATCATGTAAACATCGAAGTTCTGCTCAACGATTTCCACTCAAGTCGATAAAAACAAAAACAAACGATCATTGTACGCGTACGGAAAAGAGTGGAAACGGCACCACAAACGAAACAAAGACTAGAAGAGAATGACATGTGGAATAAAACGGAGAAAAATACCGAGTCATATTGGCAAACTGAGCAAAAACACACACCGGCTTCGTTGTATATTGAATCCACTCAACGTCACACTTTAGTTGAACATTGACATCGTGACAATTCGTACGATGTTATTTTAACCAAAACGTGCAAATTTTGTAAATTTTTATTCGCCAAACAAAATTATTTTCATCGATTGTGAGAGATAAATTGTATTCAAAATTATTGTTTTTTTTATTGATTCATGTTTTGGCTCAAACTACTCTTTATTGGTTAATTTACAATTAAACATTTACATTGAATAGAAATGTCACACTGTTATATAGCTGCTTCAAAATACAAATTAAAAAAAAAATTCTTGAAATCAAAAAAAATTTCATTTATATCTAGATGCGGAAGTAGAATAAGGTCTTCTTAATGTTTTATGACTAAACGATAGTGGTACATGACTAAAATACATGAGTGCTTGTTCAAGACAGTTTTCGATTTATTCTCCTTCTTCTCTCTAATCTCGCTAATGGAAATGGTAGCGATATGCTTACACGTCTTTTATTTGTTGATGTATGGCTAGTGTTTAGTTTATTTTTAGCTTCAATTTCTCATAGAAATCAAACTTGATTGGATTTATTGACAATGGCATAATTGAGGCCATTGAATTTTCGATGATTGACGAGATCGTCGGCGCTAGACGAGGTTCCGATGCCGATTGTATTTGAATCGTTGGATGTTGGTGATTTCGGCGACGAATTGATATTTGTTATTGGTTTTCGAAGTACCCCATATCCCATATGACTGTCGTCGGCCAAACGATATGGCTTCGGTTCAATCGTTGGCTTGCCATTGTTGGTGGTCGACGTGGTGGTGTTGGTAGC